AGTTTACGCATATGCTTGGATGCCCAACAATCTGTCAGGACGCACAAATGTATATCCCTTTTCCCTTGCAGCATGAATCAGCGGCGTTAATATTTCACAGGTAATGGCCATACTATCATGCAGCAGGATCACATCTCCTCCTTTCACCTGGCCGAGAATACGTTGTAATAACTGACCCGGATCTTTGGCCGTGGTATCAAACGAACGGATGTTCCAACCTATAGATATCATCCCGGTCATTTTTACGGCTTTAGCAACGTTAGGGTTAGTGACCCCATATGGCGGCCGGAACAATAAGGGTTTTTTACCAATAATATCAAGGATGGTGGTATTTGTTTGCTCCAGTTCTTCAGCCATTTTTGCAGCCGGCAGCCAGTCGAAGTTAAAGCCGTGATTATAGCTATGATTGCCTACAAGATGGCCTTCATCGTCCCATCGTTTAACAGTTTCCGGATATAACCGGGCATTTTTGCCGATGCTGAAAAAACCGGCTTGTACGTTTTCCCTTTTTAGTATATCCAGGATCGCCTGCGTTTTTGCGGCAGGACCATCGTCGAATGTGAGTGCTATCTGCTGATGCGCTGCCGGATTGTGATGCAGCGATTTTAGAAAGAAGTTCCAACGGATGCGTATGGCACCGATCACCAGTAAATGCAGGTATATAATGACGGCTGCAATCAACCACCACCAGGGGGCATGATACTGCCTGTATGCAAACATCCAGGACAGTGCAACTGCCACAAAAGCGATGGAAATGTATTGGAACGGACGCAAGTGCCTGGTTTAAAAATAAGGTTGTGCAGATAGGTCTGCGCCGCCTAAAATTACAACGCTGATCGTTAAAACAATAAAGCTGCCCTTCATTTCTGAAAGACAGCTTTATAAACGGCGATGATCAATACAAAGTACGAGTGCAAACCTGGTGACTTGCATCACGCAGCTCAGTTAAAAAGCCGAAGCAATCGTTTATTCTTTTACCCAACGCTGCATAAATAGCTCTCCGTTATGACCAATCACTTTTAACAGGTAAATACCTGGTGTAAGATGATCGACATTCAGCTCGTACTGACCATTTATCAGTACATCTGTTAACGAAACAACTACTTCGCCCGCCGGATTCAATACCTGAACGGTTGCTTCCATATTAGTAGCGGGCACTATAAACAGCGTATTTTTTACCGGATTAGGGTAGATGCGAATACTACCAACAGTCAATCCGGTCATAGCATCACGCACGGGTGAATAAGTGTACTGGCCATTCAGATCTTCCTGCTTTAAACGATAGTAGTACTTAACTCTAGGCACTACATCTTTATCAGTCTGCATATATACTTGCTGGTCGCCTGTATTACCCAACGGTGGCACCCAGCTGATTGTTGTAAAGTTTTGGCCGTCAATACTGCGTTCTACCTGGAAGCCCTTGCTATTTTGTTCCCTGGCAATTGTCCAGTTTAATACAATTTTTCTATCATCCGGCCTGGCTATAAAATCCAGCAAGGTTGCCGGCAGTGCAGCCGCCTGCTCTACCAACATAAATTTTGAAAAGCCCGTTGCACGGCAAGTGTAAGCAATGTACCCTTTCGTAGCCAATTGATTATCGATGGCGGTAGGCACCAGGATTTGTGCATCTCTACTTGCAATGACACCTGAAAGATTGGTAGCATCTTTGACTTTAAGAATCTTTAACGTGGCCGGATTGGTCCAGCCAGCCATTTCCTGGATGGTAAAATACACCGTCACATCATAGCTGGAAGTGGTATCATTTACCTGCGGCGTTAGTTGAATTACTTTTTTGGAACGCCGGAAACTACCGCCGGTTGTTGTCACAGGAACCTGCCCTGTACCCGCCTCTGCCAGCTCGCCTTTAATGCAGCCAACACTTGCAGTCGTATTATTCAATTGAGCGATTAAACGTTGATTGGGAATACTTATAAAACGAATGGCAGTACCGGTTGGCACTGTTTCTATGGCGGCCTGCGATAACTGAGTTTCAATCTGGAGGGGTGTCCCCGTTAGCAGTACACGATCAATGGTAAACCCCGGGTTATTACCAGCCGAATTATCATTCAGCCAGTCAAAGCCAATGTGGAACTTCGCATTGTTAAAGGATGCCGGCATTGTAAATGCATAGTTCTGCGCCGTTGCCTGGCCGAAAAATTGGGTGGTGCCGGGAATAATTCCAAAACCCAGCGGATCATCTGCAGTAGAGCTGATCAAACGGCCATAGTCATAGACAGTACCGCCTGCCTCTTCCCCAAGACATCTCCAGGTAAATGACAATTGTAAATTATTAAGGCCTGTCGCATCAATCAATGGTGTGGACAATACCGCTCTAGACGTAGCTGTAGCATTATAGGTATTAGTCCTGAGCGACGGTGTTGCATTATTATAGTTCTGGGAAATATGCGCTGCATTGCCTGCAGTGCCCGGACCACCATTGGGGCTAACCGTCCAGCGGTTGAGGGGCGTACCCGCCGCAAGAGATGACCACCCGGTAGGGAAACCGGTAGTTGCATCAAAGTTCTCATTGAGCAAGGTCACACTATTCTGCCCTATGGGTACATTCTGGTCACTCGCCGCGATCACCAGATTCATCGTCTGATCGCTGGAGCCGGCCATTACCCCGGTACCACTAATCGTATAAGAAAGCTGGATGGTTTCGTCACCCTCAGGGATTGCATCATCATAAATGCGGATCATTATATTCCTGGAATTATCGCCGGCTGCAAATGTTACCGTACGTCCGCCAATAATATCATAATCAACACCTGCGGTAGCGGTACCAGCTGTATTGATCGTCAAAGTAGCAGCGCCCGTAGCTGCAGTAAATACCTGAAGGCTAACAGGAACATCCCGATAACGGGGACATGTAGCTGACGAAATATCTTCAGATACTCTGGTAGAAGAGACTGCCCCACAGAGCGTAGTCACAAAGGATACTTGCTTCGTAAAGGCCTGCAGGTGAGGTAAGCAGCTCCTTACGCCTTGGACTATTTGTCAATACTGCAACAATCCGGTCTTTCTGATTGGCTGTAAATGTATTCATACAGGCATCATCTGAATAATCCATATAATTCTCTACCATATCCGGATAATCAATAGGGGCACCGGCATATACCATATCATTGCAGGTATTTATTCCCTTTGAACAGCCGGAATTTGATGCCGCAGCGCGCGGGGTATCTCCGCAAAAATCATCCAGAGAACAATCGCCATTATTATCTCCCCATATATGGCGCAAACCAAAATAGTGTCCCAGCTCATGGGTCAGTGTACGTCCTTTACCATAGGAGATCGTACTGGCACAGCCTGCATTAGGACTTGCCAGACTCCCTATTGCACTGGTGAGCAAGGCAACTCCGGCGATTTGGTCCGTTTCCGTACCAGACAGTCCGGGAAGGCCGCTGCCAGTTGGGAAAGTCGCATATCCGAGCAAAGTAAAACCAGGATTACTCTCCATACTAACCAGCAGCCAGATGTTGACATATTCCTTCGGATTCCAGTAGGTTCCAGCTTTAATCGTTCCATCTAC